TCAAGCTGGGATTGATCAGTTAAAGAAGTACTTATTCAATCAGTTTCAGACCAAAGATCTTGGCAGACTTTGATATTTCATAGGAATCGAAGTAGCACAGTCTAGGAAGGCATTTTCATTTGTCAGAGGAAGTATGCACTGGATATCTTAGATGAGACTGGTATGTTGGGATGTAAACCCATTGATACACCTATGGATCCTAATATTAAGTTATTACCTGGACAGGGGAGCCATTTGCAGACCCTGGTCGTTACCGCCGACTAGTTGGAAAGTTGAACTAACTTACTGTGACAAGACCAGACATCTCTTTTTCAGTTAGTGTGGCAAGTCAATTCCTTGACTCTTCTTGTGACTCTCATTGGGATGCAGTTATCAAGATTCTTCGATATATCAAAAAGGCACCAGGAAGAGGTTTATTATACACTAATAAGGGGAATGCAGAAGTGTCTAGCTATTCAGATCCTGACTGGGCAGGTTCTCTTTCAGACAGACAATCCACCTCGGGATATTGTGTTCTCCTCGGAGGAAATTTGATCTCTTGGAAGAGTAAGAAGCAAACTGTGGTTGCCAGATCAAGTGCAGAGGCAGAATATCGGGCCATGGGAAATGCGACCTGTGAGCTCATCTGGCTAAAGCAATTGCTTAAGGAATTACATCTCTGTAAACAATGGCCCATGAAACTCATTTGTGACAATCAAGCCGCATTGCACATATCCTCTAACCCAGTCTTTCATGAGAAGACTGAACATATAGAAATTGATTGTCACTTTGTTAGAGAGAAGATTCAGTCAGGTGAGATCGAGACAGCATTTGTCAATTCCAGTGATCAACTTGCAGATGTTTTCACCAAGGCTCTTAGAGGTCCCCGAATAGATCATATATGTAACAAGCTGGATGTTATGATATATACGCACCAGCTTGAGGGGGAGTGTTAGAAATAATATTAGTTTTATTATTATTAGTTTATTATTCTAGAAGGTTATTTGGGCTTAGCCCATTAGGTCATTTAACCTCTTTAAATAGAGGACTCTTGTACAATTTTATATAATTGAATACAATACATTCATACATTATAATTTTATCTCCACTCAAAAAGCCTTACAACTGATTTGAATTGTTCTACCACTTTTTGCCCTTCTCATTCTGTTATTCAAGATCTTACCACGAGGAAGACAATTGGAGTTGCTGAAGAGCAGGGTGAGTTGTATTATCTCCTTCAAGAACATGTTACAAATGATACCAAAAATCAGCTATTAATGACATGTCATACTTCTACGGCAAAACCTATGATTTGGCTCCATCACAAGTATATGTGGCACCCACAATTTAGTCTATTGAAATCAATGTTCCCTTCTCTGTTTCTAAATCAATCAGTTGAGACCTTTCATTGCGATGTTTGTGAATTTGCAAAACACCATCGAGTGTCTTTTCCTTCTCGTGCTATCAAAAGCATTGAGCCTTTTTCTCTGATTCATTATGATGTTTGGGGCCCTTCTAAAGTGCATAGTATTTCAGGTGCAAAGTGGTTTGCTTCTTTTATTGACGATTGTACTCGGGAGACATCGATATTCTTGATTAAAGACAAGTCTGAAGTACCAGATATATTTATCCGATTTTATCACATGGTCAAGACTCAGTTAGGTAAGAATATTAAAAGATTAAGATATGATAATAGTACTGAGTACGTAAACTAATGTCTGTCGCAATTCATTTCAAACAAAGGTATAATTCATGAGCTCACATGTGTTGATACCCTCAATAAAACGGAGTTGTTGAAAGAAAAAATCGTCACCTTCTTGAAGTCGCTAGAACGCTACTTTTCCAAACATATGTTCCTAGTTCTTATCGGGGAGAAGCTGTGTTAGCTGCAGCCTTTTTGATCAACCGCTTACCTTCACGGGTCTTTAACAATACCTATCTTATTCATTCCATGACTTTCTTCTTTCCTTTTGTTCCCATTTTACAGAGTTTTCCGCCACGAGTGTTTCAGTGTGTTGCCTTTGTTCATGTTCATAAACAACATCGTAGAAACTTGGATCCTAGGGCTGTTAAGTGTGTCTTCCTTGGTTATGCCCCTGATAAAAAAAGCTACAAGTATTATCATCCTCCAAGTCAAACTTTTTTTTGTTTCTATAGATATCACCTTTCATGAATCTAAGTCTTTTTTCCAGGGTCCTCAACTTCAGGAGGAGAGCAGTTCTTCAGAAGACTCGTCCCCTTTCTTCTTTGAGTCTGGGTCGTCCTTGTCTACTCTCACACCTCTCCCCCTAGTGTCTACTCCTGATGACTGATGTGTCAGAACCTTCAAGTACACCTGATATATGAAAAATTTTGACACCTGAATTGGTATATCAGAGGAGGAAACAACTCATAATGCTTCACTAGCAAACTCGATTGTCTGAATCACTAGTAAGTCCTGAATCTCTTGTTTCTGAACATTATATCATTGTCTCTGTTATGATAATTTACCCAGTGTCTCTGATGACTTACCTATTGCCTTAAGAAAAGGAAAAAAAATTTGCACCCAACATCCCATCTCTCAATTTTTTTCTTCTGCTTAACCTCTCTATGCAGCACAAAAGCTTTATATCAGCACTATATTCCATTTTCAACCCAAAATCAGTGAACGAAGTATTAAAAGATGAGAATTGGGTTTGGGCCATGCAAGAGGAGATGAATGCCTTAAAGAAGAATAAAACACGGAAGATTGTTGATAAACCCAATGAAAAAAAAAAGCAATAGGGTGCAGATGAGTTTATACCCTAAAGTACAAATCTGGTGGAACTCTTGAGAGATATAAGGCTCCATTAGTCGCCAAGAGTTAGACTCAGACCTATGGCATTGATTATGAAGAAACTTTTGCCCCAGTTGCAAAGATGAATACTGTGAGAGCCAATGTTTTCCGTAATGATGAGTTAGAAGAAGAGGTCTACATGAAAATCCTGCCTGATTTTGGCTCTATGGATGGAGGAAATAAAGTTTGCAGGTTAAAAAAGGCCTTGTATGGATTGAAACAGTCTCCCCGTGCTTGGTTTGGTAGATTTACTAAGGTTATGCTGAGATATAAACAGAGTCAAGGAGATCACACACTTTTCTTTAAGCACTCCCAAGATGGGAAGCTCACTGTGCTCCTTGTGTATGTTAATGATATTATTATAACAGGTGATGATATGGGGAAGAGACATATTCTGCAAGCAAGACTAGACTCAGAGTTTGAAGTTAAAGACCTTGGAAAATTGAGATATTTCCTAGGGATGGAGGTAGCTTATTCAAAGAACGAAATTTTTATCAGCCAGAGAAAATATGTCCTTGATCTTCTTAAAGAATCAGGAAAACTTGGGTGTAAACCTTCTAGTACACCTATTGAGCAAAATCACAAGATGGGTTATGAAGAGGAGAGTCCTCCAATGATAAAGGACAATATCAACGGCTAGTTGGGAGGCTGATATATCTGGCTCATACTAGACCAGACCTAGCTTATGTTGTTAGTATTCTCAGTTAATTTATGCATAACCAACGGAGAAACACATGCAGGCAGTGGAGAGAATTCTTCAATATCTTAAAGACACTCTTGGTAAAGGACTATTATTTCGGCGAGATGGCAATCTTTCTTTAGAAGTTTATACTGATCCGATTATGCTGGATCTGTGACTGATCGCCGATCTACCACTAGTTATTGTATGTTTCTATGTTGTAACTTAGTTACATGGAGGAGTAAGAAACAAGATGTGGTTGCCAGGTCAAGTGCAAAGGCTGAGTTTCGAGCCATGACTCAAGGCATTTGTGAGTTATTGTAGTTGAAAATCATACTGGATGATCTCAAAATAAGATGTGAAGGACCTATAAAGCTGCTATGCGATAATAAGTCTGCTATTTGTATAGCTCATAATCCAGTTCAACATGATCGGACTAAGCATATTGAGGTCGACCACTATTTCAATAAAGAAAAACTTGATAGCAGGTTAAATGTCACTCCATACATTCCCTCTGGGCGTCAATTAGCTGATATTTTGACAAAGGGACTTCTCTCAGATAGATTTCAAGAACTTACTAAAAAGCTGAGAATGATAAATATCTATTCCTTAGCTTGAGGGGGAGTGTTGCAAATAATTATAATTATTTTATTTATTGTTGTATTCTAGAATTTTCCTTGGGCTTCGCCCATTAGGTCATTTAGCCTCTTTAAATAGAGAGCCCTTGTACAGTTGTAATACACAATTTGTCAATATAATATTATACTTACTCTTTTCAAGTTCTACCTATAAGCTTATGGCTCTTAGGTTTATTGAGAGGTTTGATTATCAAAAAATCTTTTTTCTGCAAGAAATGATATGTTGTTAATTCTAAGCAAACAACTGAGTAACAATATATATGTAGCTAGACAGCTTTATCTTGTTGGATGATAATATACCAAGAAATGAGTGGCAACAAACAAGGAGAAAATTCTAATACATATATATAGGGGCAAGATTCTTTGACACCAGTGTCAAACTAAAGTTTGATACCAAATCTTAACTGTTCATTTCCAAAAATCTAACTGTTATAATTTATTGGGTCGCACTTATTAATTAATTATTAATTTTCAATAAATTATAACCGTCAGATTGACAAAAATCAACGATTAAGATTTGGTATCAAATTTTTTAATTTGACACCAGTATCAAATGATCTTGCCCCGTGTATATATATATATATATATATATATATATACACACACACGAAGACCATTTAGTTTATTTAAGTTTGTAGGTCAATTAGGCAAAAAAAAAAAAAAAACTTCTGCGTCAATCAAGATATTCACAGCAATAACACCAAATATTCTCAAAACCAAGTGATCTTTAGTTTGATCCTTGTCAATCCCTCCAAGTTCCAATTATCAAACAGCAGGACAAGGTAAAATTTCAAAATATACAGAGGATGTATTGAAATTCAATCGCAGTACTACTCAACACCTTTAACAGGAAACAGATATCAATTTTAAGGTAAAGGATTCAGCGTACCTGGTATAGAGATCAGGTCAGGACTTCCAACCATTGATCTAAGCCACTGGACTCTACTTTTACCTTCTTTACCACCACTATAAATACCACGAACAGCATAGAGATTGGTATGAAATCCCCTTCCCTCGATTTCTAGCTTGTGTATTCTAGGAATCCCTAAGAATGCACATATAACATTTACAGGGAGGCAGAAAGCACGACAAAAAATGTAAGAGAGAATTAATCATAAAAAAGGGAGAATCCCATGGTTTGGCATCAGTCAATCCAATATCAATTTTCAAATGGTAAATCCATTGCGTATTTCCGTTGAGAAAGGAAGAATGCATGAAACCTGAATGCCCATAAAGCATTTCAGAGCACCTAAAATCTGTTGTAAATATAAATTCTAGATTGGTTTTTTTTATTAATAGGACATATTGGTAGGGCAAATTCATTTCTATTTGTTCCTTTAGATTTAGCTCTATATCAGGCAAGTAGTTATTGATATAGGTCTATATAACGTAAATAGATTCTGCACATTTATACCAATCTATTTCCCACTTAGTTTTGTTTTATTACTTTCCCCCACGGCCCCAAGCATGTTTTGGCCAACCTCTTCCTTTCTCACCGAAGCATCTAAAGTTTTCGAAGAACATTTCCAAACCATCTCATTCTATGTTCTCTCATCTTTTCTTCCATTGGCACTATTCCAACTTCTTGTCGAATGTTTTCATTTCTTATCTTATTCTTCTTTTATGATCACACATCTACCCACACATCCTCGTTTACCCTACTCCCATTTTGTGCTCATGTCGTTTCAAAGCTGGCTAACATTAAGTTTCGCACAGCATTGCCAATGTCTTTGTGTTTGTTTGCATGTTGTGCACAACTTATTCTTTATTGTTCTATACCATTAGAGATGTAATATAAAAATCATTCATGTCTCATCACTTAACAACTTAAGCTTTAAGGATAATTAATTCATGATATGATATCATAGAGTCACTATGACAAAATGCTCTAAAGTTTGATTCTTGTCATCCCGATTCTCCTAATAAAAAGTTGAATTTTAGCATGACGTAGGTGGATATGTCCATTATCCACGTTTCAAGCCCAAAGGACTATTGCATGAAGAGCGTGTTAGAGATGTAATATAAAAAGCATTCATAAGTTTTAACCTAACAACTTAACTTTTGGCATAGTTGGTTCATAACATAGACAAATTATGCACAAGCCGACTTGAAAAAGGGGAGGGAGTGTTTGAAAACACAAAAAAGGATACAATTGCAAAGCAAGAATATTTATGTAATCAAAGCAATTACCTGGCAATACAGGTGTCGTCTCAATGCATACCGCCTCACTTGACCTTCCAAACACATCAGTTACAACACACTCACATTTCAAACGATGACCAATGTCCTCTAACCGCACCCTATAGGAGCAAGAACTCTGATTGGGCAATGGATCACATGAAAAATTGTCTCCCTCTTCTGATGAACAAAACCTGCATAATCATTTGATGCAAATAACGAGATTTGATTAGAAGCATTACAAGTTTGCAACTAGTATTCTCCTCATAATAAAGAAACAAGTAAGACCCCAAATATAATTGTTACATGAAATTGTAAAGAACCAATTCAACCCAAAAGCTTAAGTTGTTGGGTGAAGTTATATTAATGGTTTTATATATCTTTAACATGTCACATTATACGAGAGCCCATTGGGCTTGAAGGGTGGACAATGCACAGGCCCACCTACCTGTGTTAAGAAATTCCGCAAGAGAAAGTGGGGGGGGCGGTGAGGATCAAACCCGTGACACCGTGGCTCTGATACCATGTAAAGAACTAATTCAACCCAAAAGCTTAAGTTGTTGGGTGATGTTACATTAATGTTTTTATATATCTCTAACAGAAACTATTCCCGAGCCATCACCTAACAGCTTAAACTTTCAGGAGAATTGGCCATTGACATGGTATGGAGCATCTGACATAGTCAAGAGTATGATCCTTGTTGCCCCACATTCTTTTAAATAATAAGAAATTGAAAACAAGGTAAAGAAAGCATGTATATCATACACACTTCGATTGTCCTTTTTGTTAGGTAATTGACATCGTTGTCCTTAAACTTCTTAGTAAATTTTAAGCTTTTTCTTGTTCAAACTTTGTTTTTTGTTCATTTATTTATGGTACAGAATTTTCAAACAACCACGATTACACATTTTTTTTTGAATTATTATCATTCTAGCTGCTATCTCTAGTGCAGCAGCCACTCCAAGATCTTTTGTACTGCAATAGTGTTATATGGTAAATGAATTTCTCTCAGGAAATAAAAAGTAAATTTGTTCAATGAGATAAGTATTACAATGCTGCATCAATGTAAAATATAAAACCATACCATTGGTATCTTATATCTTTCTTGTACTTGCTCCAAACATCATGTTGAGTCTCACTATTTGGAATCACTTCAACAGCTGTAAGTATGTCGCCTTCAACTGCTTTTCCTGTTAGAGCAAGCATCTCCACATATGGAAGCTCTAGAAGGCAATGCAGGAACCACATTTAATTTCCAAGAACAACTTTAAAATCTTGAAGGAGAAAGGAGCTTTATTATTTAAAAATAAATGCAACTTAGAAAAGCACAGGCTTGCACAAAGATGGAAAATGGTTACCTGGGAGAACAATGTCAGTTGGGTCAGATAACCTGGGTTCTCCCACAACTGAATCTGAGCGAACTGGGGTATATCTGGCAAAAGAAAAAGGAACAGGAAGAAAATGTTAATATCAACATGATATAAATTATGAGATACATCTTAATTGTTTTGAAATTACATGGCTTAGGTGGGGAAGAAGGATAAGAGACAAAGGAGGCACTCAAAAATATGAAATTTGATTTATATGGTATGTAAAGATGTGATACAATACAAATACAATCATCCTCTTTATAGTGATAATTAGGTGAAGCACTACTTTAGCAATACTACTACAAGTCCAATCCACTAATAGAATAAGACTATTAACCCCAATTAACTGAAGAAACAAATTAGGAAACAACTACTATGATTGCTTCTTCAATTGATTCCACAACGTATGCTAAAGATATTCTAATTATTAATTATTTTAGATAATATGGTAATTTGAAATTTAAAAGGTGAGTTTAACTAAGAATATCTAAAAAAGTTTACACGTTTGAAACAATTCCTTCAACAATCAATTCTCTAATAAATTCTCGAAATCTAAAGAAACAAGGACTTGTAAGATGAAAAATTCTCTCTTCTTTCACACTTAGAAGTTGAAGTTTAAACAAGCGATTATGTTTATCATGGCATATCATACACTATCTTCACAGTAAAACCTGAAAAGCAAAAGAGTAATACAGAATAATTACCCAAACAACAATCGACAATTGTAATCCGAATCAGTAACTTGGTAGGTTTTAGAATTTGCCCCATTAATCAGTTGAATGGTTCCCTCATTATTTTCTCTATACCAGCTAAAGAGGCTTTCTCCTTCATATCCACCAAAGTATTCACCTTCTCCGGAATAAATTCCCGAAGACAACTCTTTCACGCATACATTAGATACTATTGGAGGAGCTGCAAATTATTATAGGAGTAAGACAATAAAATGTGCTAAATAACACAGATATCAAATGTCAGTATAGGAAAAAGGACTAAAAGAAATAAAATCTAGAACCTAGTCATGGTCATCACTTGCCCATTGCGCAGAAATTACAGTGGGCACACTCTACTTCAGATGAATAGGTAACGTACACAGCACTCCCATCAAAATCATTTTCAAAGACAAAAAGGTATGACCAAAGATAATGAATAATGAACTTCCAGCTGAACTGCATTGATACCTGGGGAAACTGGGGTACTGCAAATTGCAATCAATGGCTCTCCACATTTGCTGTCAGCACGAGTAGGCATCCAATACAAAGCCAAATAAGCTCCAACGTCTTCAAGTGATGGTTTATACATTCTGCCAAGAAAATGAAAATTATCACAAAATCCTCAATTTCGAGTAGATATAATTTGTTCCAAAGAATCACAACACAATATGGACTTACGGCTCTGTCCCACATATCACAACATCAGAAGCATTAGATATATCTAGTAGTGCAGATCCTTCAAGCTTATTCTTTGTCTGATACCAAATATATTCTCCAACTCCTTCATGCCCACCAAAATATTTTCTCAGTGGGGTAACCTCTCTGTCTTCGCAGCAGTCAGGGATTACAAGGTCCATTCCCTTAGGATCCGCTGTGCACAGAAAATAAAATTAAATTCATGTCACAAAAAAGAATAGAATTTAAAAAAAAAAAAATCACATTAACAAAAAACTTTGTTATGAGTGTACCAGAACTACACTTGATTAACTCCCCAGTTCTGTTAGTCAGTTAACTTGTTAGCTAACCAGCTGCTATAGTTAGTTAGGAAGTTAGCTTAGTGATCACGGTATGTTCCAGAACCTTAGAAGGTTCAGCTCAGTTTTTCAGGTATAGAAGAATAATCCAAGAAAACTATTATATCTGTTCTCTCAACATTTTCCTAATTTCTCTCATTTTCTCTTTCATTCTTGATTTCTAATAGCAATGAACAAAAACAATGTCAACAGCTCTTTCCAAAATGCTTCCTGATTTCCAAAATGCTTCCTGATTTTTGAATGCTGATTTATTCTAAATTATTTCCAGATTCATAGCTTCCTTATTTCTTGCGGTTTTACTGATTTTAAGGTCTGTATTTAATATAAATTTTCTTGTGTATATTATGTACCTAGTCATCTATATAAACATGTACAGTGATCTTCATTAACTCATCCATAGACGGTTAATATAACTGATCAATGTACCTGGAGCAGTGTTAAAACTACTCTTTTGTAACCAAAAATCACGGGTACAAATTCAAGAAATGGCCTCTTTAAAATCATGAAAAGGCAAAGCTGCGTATAAAAATTTCCTCAGGTTTCATGAGCAGATTAACATTTGGTTAAAGTAATCAGTGGCACTGATAACCCTGGTTGTATCTTAGACTCCACATACCAAACTAGAGCATTACATAATTTTAACAAAGTAGCCACCAGTAAAATCCATAATATCTTTCCAATTTTACATGAAAAACAATCTCACCAGGAGAAACCGGATCAGATACTATGCTCTTGGGGCTGCCTTTGATTCCGTCATTGCGCACAGGAGTATAGATTATTTCAATGCACGCACCAACATCATCAAGAGTCAAATCCAAAAAATCTGCTTATCATAAATATCAAGCATTTAGTTTTGCCATAATGAATAAATTACAATACTACTTATCTGATAACACTACTACACAAAACTCACCATGACTACTTATTTTCTCTCGTACACTATTGTCTTTTACCCTAAACCACTCGTGGGTACAATCTCCTTTCTCCCTGAAAAGCAAGCAAAGATTCCATGTCAGGAGAGGTACCACAAGGACAAAATCAAAAGCTCTGAAAGTAGAGACAGAAAATATAAACAATGGATAGCAGAAGCCTGACCCTCCACTATACACAGCATTAAAGTTCAAGTGCTGCCCTTCTATCAATGATCCAGGAATTTCTAGAGAGTGACAAGTTGGGGGACCTAAATTGCAACATAATAAAACAAAAAACAAGAATTGCATATTAAATGTCTCTAGCCCTGAAAAAAGTAAATGTTTGAAAAAAAATCTTCATATCATCAACAATATAAAACTTCCAGAGCATACAAAGAAAATAACAACTGATTTGTACCAGGAATTATAGGTCCAATTTGTTCAGAAATAACCATGGGTCCACGAGCCCAATCACTTCGGACAGGCTCGCATGATACAGAAATAAAGAATCCAATGTCATCCATTGAGGGCACATACGATGTAGTGGTAGCACCCATAATCTCACTTTTTGTGCCATCAAAACTGGTCTGCATAAAGCCATAAACAATATGTTCAACTAACAATCTATAGTAGCATCAAGACAGTAAAGTCAATAAAACAAGGTGTATACAGGAATGCGCTATTTATGCCACTACAACCACAAGAAGAAGTTTTTGTCCTTGCCCCTGGTTTATTATTATTACAATAAATTGACATGTTTACTTCACCTCCCATGTTCAGATCATGATTTATTAAGGGAGTTTCTACACTAGCAGAGGGAATGATGACTAACAGAAATGAATATGAAGGTGAGAGAGAGAAGCTATTGAAGAATTTCTGAAATGTTATCCAAGTGACAAACTGATACACTGCTAGCTCTATTTATAGAGCTAGAAAAGCTGACTCAGCAAATAACAAACTAACAATAAAAGAACTGATCAGGTGTAACACACCATGTAACACCCCCAATTTTCTATCAACTTTAAAATATTATTATAATAACAGAATTGGAAAAATTTCACATTTGCTTATCTATTAGGATCTCATAAATATTGCGGAAGCTAATCTAAAACTAATTTGGGAAAATGTTACCAACGTACCAGTAACAGAGACAAGTGCAAGGCTAACTTTATCATACTCTTATACCAAAATATATTCAATGTAAATATTTAAAACTTCAAAATATAAATCCAAAGTCTAAGGTTTAACTTAAATATGTCTTATACAGTTATTAAATTCTAAGCATAGAATTTATGATATTCAGGCCTAGCTTGAAATGTCTTGAGACGTTATCCTCACTGCCCATTGCTATTCCCAACATTCGAAACCTGCTTCACTGAGGGTCTTTGCTCCCCCGATGGATCATCACAGCACACAAACACAAACACAAATAGTCAGGTGCAGCGGTAACATTTCCCCAAATAGCTTAGCTTCCGCAATATTTTATGACATTCTAATAAATAATTAAATGTGAATTTTGGCAAATTCTGCTATTATAAGAATATTTTAAAATTGTTAGAAATTTAAGGGTGTTACACACCATGATCAAAGAATGCACAACAACAACAACTAACTAACAGTCGAGTGATATACGAATTAAACAAATTACAATTACAAAGCATTTATATGCTAATATGCCCCCTCAAAGTCAGGAGTTGTGGAGTTGGAGAACATCTAGAACTCTGAGTTTGGTCCAAAGTTCAGCAAAGTTAGGAGCAGATAAAGGCTTTGTGAGAGCATCAGCTAGCTGTTCTAAAGCTCGAACATGAGAGACAAGAAGATCTTAAGATAAAACTCGTTCCCTGACAAAGAAGATGACCAACTCCATGTGCTTGGTTCTAGCATGCAAAACCAAATTATGAGATAGAACAACAATGCCGAGATTGTCACAATAAGCCTGAGGAGTAGCCAAGGGAACATGAAGGTCACAAAGAAGGGACTAAATCCACAAAACTTCTGCTAGAGCCATGGCCAAACTTCTTATTCGGCCTCTATACTAGATCTGGCCACCAAAGTCTTCTTTTTGGACCACCAAGACACCAAGTTGGGACCAAGGAAAGGACAGGCTCCTGATGTAGACCTGCGATCATCTAGGTCACTCAGTCAGCATCACAAAAGGTTATTAACGAGAGTGGCAATGAGCAGGAGCTGGCTGAAGAATGAGTCTATATGTAACAGTCTCCTTGAGATCCCTTAGAATGCATTTAACAGAATTCCAATGATCAAGTAAGGGTTGAGCCATGAATTGACATACTTTGTTGACAACAAAACTGATTTCTAGAAGGGTAATAGTGGCATATTAACCCATAATAAATCGATAGTGATGAGGATTATCAAAGTAATTGGAGCCATGTTTTGTTAACTTGCAACTAGTAGCCATATGTGAGGCAATACTTTTAGCATCAGACATATTAGCTCGAGCTAAGAGATCTCGAATGTATTTGGATTGAGAGAGAGAGATATGACCATAATGATGCTTCTTGACTTCTATTTCCAAAAAATATTCCAAGTCACCAAGATCTTTAAGAGAAAACTTGGAATTCAAGGCAGTGATCAAATTTTGAATAAAAGGAGCATCATTTCCTGTGACAATAATATCATCAACATATACTAAGACATATATACATTTGTTATCATGATGAAAAATGAAAAGAGATGGGTCACAACTGCAGGACCGAAAGCCAAGAAGGAGCAGGGCCTGTGTTAGCTTGTCAAACCAAGCTCTAGGAGCTTGTATAAGGCCATATAGAGCCTTATTCAGTTTGCAAACCAGTGTTTTAGTATCATACTCTAACATCTACAAATACTAACACCAAGGAAAGCAAGAAAATGGCCAACAATCCACAATTTAATTGGAAACATAGGACCAGTAATAAATATTCTTAGTTAATAAATGTAATCCAAAATCTTATCTAGGAAGAAACAAATTTTAACCAAAGTTTAAACATTGGCAAAGTGGAACATAAGATTTTAGCCAATCCAAATTAAAATTCTGATCAATAGACACTGACAATACAAAAAAGTTTGAGATTAAAAGTACCCTAAGCCAGCGGAAAACTGAATCTCCCTCTTCACCACCCCAGTACTTTTTTTCAATTCTTAATGTTGTTCCTTCAACAGCATTTCCAACCATGTGTAAAGAAAGCAATCTCGGGCTTCCTGATCACCAAGAAACAACTCCACCATGAGAATGAAAATATATTGCAAACAAAATGATCTCAGATGCAACAGAGGGAAACAATAAATCATGTGATCGAAGACTTATTTATTGATAGTCTTACAGTGTGGATGAGATCTTTTGGTGGGATTGCAGAGATAGAGGTGTCTTATTTACAATTTGCAGATAATTACTTTCTTTTTCTTCTGGACGATGACAGTGACTTTAGAAATGCCTTGTCTTTGTTGAAGGTTTTTGAGAAATTCTAGTCTCCCTATCAATTTGGCTATGAGTGATGTTAATAAAAGCTTCAACTATTAGGTTAAGGCATGTGAATGATTTAATATTATATCTCTAAACGTCGCCTTACACAAGAGCCTTTTAAGTTTGAGGCGTTAACATACACTGGTCCACCTATCTTATATTGAAGCTAACTTTTTATATTGAAAAATAGAAGTAACAAGGATCAAACTCTAAAATATTTAGTCATCGAATCTTGATACCAAGTAGAATTAAAGCGGGTTTGAGGAAACACCGTGTGACAGATCAGTGAACACATGCATATATTTATACTATTTACAGTATTAATTTATGAGAAATCATATCCTAAACTAAAGTTGATCCACGCTAATTACCTCTGAGTCAGTAACAGCTAATACTACTCATTATATATGTGCTTAATTCTAACATTTTTCATCAATTTTTATTGCTTTGCATTTGATGGATATGGGAATCAAGGGGTCTAAACCGTTGAAAGTGTATAGTACAAGGTTGAAATAAATTCAGGCTTATGCGGTTAGAAGTGTATCTGTGAGGTACTTTGTTTTAAGGTGGTAATTTGTTATTTAGACAATGTCTGACCAATGTCAGTTACTGGAAGTTAGGGAACTACAATAAGAGAACTTATCCTCAATTAGGGATTCAGTTAGTTATTATGTGCAGAAGTAGAATGATCATTGCAGAGGGAATACCTCTTTTTACTTTCTTTAGGTTTGAGGTACCATTTTCATTGTGATTATAAGATTACTAAACCCAGGGACATAACAGCATTCTCCTCAAGTGGGGAATGGTTCAAGTTCCCAGTTATGGGAGGATGGGTAGTTAGTGAAATACACCATTTTCTCTTCACAATTCTGTATCACATTGCTGTCTTGCATAATGCTCCAATATAATTTCTGTTCTTTGTTTTTTTTTTTTTTTTGGACGAATCCATGTCCAGGATTTTCCATATTTTAAACCTGAATGATCGTGAGGCTTCTGATTTTGTTTCCTTGTTTAGCATTCTTGGCTTTCTAATCTACAGGACGTTTGTATTGGTACTTTAGATCATTCAGGACCCTTTTCTACTAACTGTTCTTACCTGTTTCCTATATCTAATTCTTCTCCACTACATTCAACCTTCCCATGTTCTTTTTTGAAGGTCTAAGCTCCTTGATGGTCAAGGCTTTGTTTGGACATTGCTGTTCAGTAGATTAGGATTAACACTATTGACTTATACAGTCAAAAAACCTAGAGGCCACCACTACCAATTTTTTATTTAGCTCAAAAGCTCTGAAAAAAAGCCCAACCTTAGCAGCTTTTGCTTAAACTATTCAGGTTTCTTAAATGCATATGTCTGCCTAATAGTACATCTTTTTCTCAAATCATTGTAAATGTTTTCTAGGTAGAAACGATAGGGAGCTTTGGCATTGTCTGCTTTTTGCTGGTGTTTGGTGTATTTAGAAGGATCATAATTCAAGAATTTATAGCAATAGTTATTTGTAAAGAACCAATTCAACCCAAAAGGTTAAACTGGTGGGTAAGGGCTTTTTAATGGTTTTTGTTAGAATATTAGATATGATATGATTAGATATGATTGGATTCCGTCTTATCCGTAAATATTCTGACTGTATTCTGACTGTATTAGGATTAGGTTTGGGCCTTTCACTTAAGCCCATTAGGGTCTCTATATATTGTAACTCTCTGACACAGATCAATACACAACATATTATTTTATATTCAAGTTGGTATCAGAGCTCTTTCGTTCTGGGAACCCTCGCTTCCGCTTAGAAACCTTAGGAGTCCTCTTTCTTGCCGTGCGTCCTTCCGGCAAGCCTTCTAGGGCTGTAAACAGCCTCTGAGTGATTTTTCCAAACGCGTCAGCACCTCCGACGGCCACGGGACCACCGCCCGCCGTCAGAATCACTGTTCAGGCAACCGGAGACTTTTTCCGGCGACTTTTCCGACCAAACTTCACGCGATCAGGACCTTCTCTTCCTGGCGACCAGGTCTGTGGTGGTCCGGTCAGCAACGCAGCTCCCACGCGCCGTCACGCGCCATCTGTCTTCTCTGCGCGTGGGATTCACGCGCCACCTTCTGCCGGCGCGTGAGCACTATTCCGGCGGCTTTTTCCGGCCGGTCTTGGACAGAGAAGCTCGCCTTCTCCTCCCCTTTCTGGATCTGTGATTGTTTCTCTGTGGGTCTGACCTTAGACGCGTGGTTCTTCTTGATTGGATATCGTTTGCCTTCGTTTACGGCTTTTATATTTTATCTTTACATGGCAGCAGCATCTCCTGATCTCTCGGAGGTTAACTCTCCTTCTATTGTTGCAAATATAGCTCAGTCAGACAATGCATCATTTGGTTCAGGTTCGGACTATGCTGCACTCCAGACCCCTCTCAGGAAGGCTTCTCCTCAGTCTCAGCCTTATACTGGTAATCCCGTTGCTTGTGTTTCTCATTCTACATCACTTGGCACTTGGATATTTGACTCTGGTGCTACCGATCATCTCTGTGGTAATAAGGAACTCTTTACATCTCTTACTTATTCTGATCATTTACCGTCTTTTACCCTTGCGGATGGAACCAAAGCCTCAGTTCGTGGGATTGGACAAGCTCGTCCGACCTCTACCTTGGCCCTGACATCTGTCTATTACATTCCTGGCATCCCTTATAACTTAATTTCTATTAGTAAGTTGATCCACTCCCTCACTTGCACCATTACTTTCTCTAACTATTCTGTTTCTGTGCAGGATCCGGGTACGGGGAAAATGATTGGAGTGGGTCGTGAGTCACGGGGGCTTTATTATCTGGATGTGCCTCGTCCTTCAGTAGCATGCTCTCTCACAGAATCTCCACAACTTATCCACAGTCGCCTTGGTCATCCAAGTCTTTCAAAGTTGCAGAAAATAGTTCCTCTTTTGTCCGGTCTTCAGTCTTTAGATTGAGCGTCATGTCAACAAGGGAAGCATACACGCTCCTCTTTTGCCAGTCGAGTCAATAAACGAGCTGATGCCCCTTTCTCTCTTGTTCATTCAGATATCTGGGGTCCAAGTCGTACCTTGTCTGTCTTAGGTTTTCGGTATTTCGTTACCTTTATTGATGATTTTTCCTGTTGCACTTGGACCTATTTAATGAAATATCGTTCCGAGTTATTTTCCATTTACAAAAAGTTTTCTACTGAGATCCATACTCAATTTAGTGTTTCTATTCGTATTCTACGTAGTGATAATGCTAAGGAATATGTTTCTATTGATTTTTCTAATTTCTTGGCCACACAAGGTACTTTACATCAAACTACTTGTCCTCACACTCCACAAAAAAAATGGGGTGGCTGAACGTAAAAACAGACATCTCATTGAAACTGCCCGTACCCTTCTTATTCATATGCAGGTTCCCCTTCACTTCTGGGCAGATGTTGTACTCATCTCTTGTTTTCTCATCAATCGCATGCCTTCATCTGTGCTCCACAATGACATTCCTCATAATCTATTGCTTCCAGATGTTCCTCTTTATCCTCTAACTCCACATGTCTTTGGTTGTACTTGTTTTGTTCATGATCTCACTCCTGGTAAGGATAAGTTAACATCCAAAGCCTTTCAGTGTATCTTTCTTGGTTATTCTCGTCTTCAAAAGGGTTATCGTTGTTATTCTCCCGACCTTAAGCGTTACTTAGTTTCCGCTGATGTCACTTTTCTTGATCAACAACCCTTTAATTCTATCCCATCTCAGATGTCACAGGTTGATCATGTACTTCCTGTCCCTTTTCTTGACTTGTCTTTGCCAGCTGCAAGTGTTTCTATTGCAGATGAGCAACCTATTGCTTCTATACCTGAGGACCGTCCACTTCTCACCTATCAGCGTCGCAAAACTGTGCCTCCTGTCGACTCGACTCTTGCTGACTCATCGCCCACTGCTGTTGCTTCTTCCCCTCCGGATCCTTCATCAGAGACTCTTCCCATTGCTCAAAGAAAAGGTACACGTACTACTCGTAACCCTTATCCTCTTTATACCTTTTTGAGTTATGACCGTCTTTCTTCACCTCATTTCACCTTTGTTTCTAGTCTTTCTTCTATTTCTATTCCTAAGACCACAGGTGAAGCACTTTCCCATCCAGGATGGCGCCAAGCAATGCTTGATGAGATGACTGCACTTCATTCCAATGGCACTTGGGACCTTGTTTCTGCTCCTCCAGAGAAGTCTATAGTTGGTTGTCGCTGGGTTTTTACTGTGAAAGTTGGACCTGATGGCCATATTGATCGTCTCAAGGCACGTTTAGTTGCCAAGGGTTTTACTCAAATCTTTGGCCTTGATTATAGCGATACATTTTCTCCGGTCGCTAAGATGGCGTCAGTCCGCCTCTTTCTTGCCCTTGCTGCTGTTCGTCACTGGCCACTCCTTCAACTTGACATCAAAAATGCCTTTCTTCATGGTGATTTACAAGATGAAGTTTACATGGAGCAACCACCTGGTTTTGTTGCTCAGGGGGAGTCTGGAAAGGTGTGTCGTCTTCGGAAATCCTTATATGGTCTCCAGCAGTCTCCTCGAGCATGGTTCAGTCGCTTCAGTTCTGCTGTTCAGGCGTTTGGCTTAATCCGCAGTAAAGTTGACCATTCTGTGTTTTATAGGATTACATCTCCTGATAAGTGTATCTATTTGTTAGTCTATGTTGACGACATCATTCTCACCGGAAGTGATCAAGACGGAATTCGTCAGTTAAAACAGCATTTGTTTAGTACATTTCAAACAAAGGACCTTGGGAAGCTACGTTACTTCTTGGGAATTGAGGTGGCGCAATCCAGACAGGGCATTTCTATCTGTCAAAGGAAATATGCCTTGGATATCCTAGAAGAAACTGGTATGTTGGGGAGTAAACTAGTTGATACATCTATGGATCCTAATGTCAAGTTATTGCCCGGACAGGGGGAGCCGTTATCTGATCCTGGACGTTATCAGAGGCTAATTGGAAAGCTCAACTATCTTACTGTGACTAGGCCAGATATTTCTTTCGCTGTTAGTACGGCTAGTCAGTTTCTTGATTCCCCTTGTGATTCACATTGGGATGCTGCTGTGAGGATCCTCCGATACATCAAAGGAGCACCAGGAAAAGGTTTGTTGTATTCAGATCAGGGAAATACAGAAATTTGTGGTTATTCAGATGCTGATTGGGCAGGATCACCCTCGGACAGGCGCTCTACTTCTGGCTATTGTGTCTTCTTTGGAGGAAACTTAATTTCGTGGAAGAGCAAGAAACAACCTGTTGTTGCTCGATCTAGTGCAGAAGCTGAGTATCGTGCAATGGCAAATGCTACCTGTGAGTTAGTCTGGTTAAAGCAGTTGATTCAGGAGCTTCATCTTTGTGAACAGAAACAACCCATGACACTCATTTGTGATAATCAAGCTGCGCTATATATATCCTCTAATCCTGTCTTTCATGAGAGGACCAAACATATAGAGATTGATTGTCACTTCATTCGAGAAAAGATTCAGTCAGGAGAAATCAAGACTGCTTTCGTCAACTCCTCTGATCAACTAGCGGATGTTTTCACTAAAGCTCTTAGAGGTCCTCGGGTTGAATACATTTGTAACAAGCTTGGTGCTCATAATATATACGCACCAGCTTGAGGGGGAGTGTTAGAATATTAGATATGATATGATTAGATATGATTGGATTCCGTCTTATCCGTAAATATTCTGACTGTATTCTGACTGTATTAGGATTAGGTTTGGGCCTTTCACTTAAGCTCATTAGGGTCTCTATATATTGTAACTCTCTGACACAGATCAATACACAACATATTATTTTATATTCAAGTGTTTTATATATCTCAACATGCCCCCTCATAAGAGAGCTCATTGGGCTTAAAGTGTGGACAATGAACAGACCCACCTACCTATGCTAAGAAACAAATTCCATTAGAAAGAAAATGGGGGGCGATGAGGATCGAACCCGGGACACGAAGCTCTGATACCAAGTAAAGAACTAATTCAACCCAAAAGCTTAAGCTGGTGGGTAAGGGCTTTCTAATAGTTTTATATATCTCAACATTATTTCAATACATGTAATTTATGGGATAGCCTGGATTATCAGCAAATGGGTTTTTAAAGTTTTTGCTACGTCAGACTTGCAAAAGGATTGTGTTTCTCTTCAGAGCTCCTATGTTCTTGTTTTGTTTTTTTCTTTGGAGTTTATGGAACATTCTTGGTCCTCTAGTTTTGTTACCTTTTTATCTTAATAGATACTTCTAGAACCAGATATCTCTAGTATACATGCCATTAATGTGAATTTTCTCTTTATATATATTATTCAAAGTAATAAACTAAATTCTTATTCAAATCCATATGTGTTACCAGGGCGAACGCTTTCCTGGCCCATGCAAATTCTTAGGTCACCTACAACACCATCATCACGTACTGGAGTACACTGGAATGAGACAAATTTTCCAATGGCTTCTTTGGTGATACGATATTGCAGAAGTCCTGAAACCCCTGGTATCAAAGAACCAAAATCACCTTCAACCTGCACAATCCAAAAGATATTTTAGCACATAAATTTTCCATGCAAAGGATAATGGTTACAAATAGGAATATTTTTGTAAAGAACCAATTCAACCCAAAAGCTTAAGCTGATGGGTGAAGTTACATTAATGATTTTATATACCTCAACGCATCCCCTTACACGAGAGTCCATTAGACTTGAAGGGTGGACAATGCACAGGCCAACCTACTTGCGCGAACAAAGAAATTCCACTTGAAAGAAAGTGGGGGGTGGCGAGGATCGAACCCGAGACACGAGGCTCTGATACCATGTAAAGAACCAATTCAACCCAAAAGCTTAAGCTGATGGGTGAGGTTACATTAATGATTTTATATATCTCAACAATTTTATATTTATTTCTAGTAGGTAAAATTTATACTTATTTTTTACCCATTTTACTTTGATAAAATATCTCAATCATAACACTTGATTTTAGTGATATTGGTCTGGACAGTCACCCCAAACATGGTAGTGGAAGATAAAGTACCACAAAAAGGACAAGAAAACATTTGTTGAGCACCACAAAAAGGACAAAAAAGAACCTCTACCAAAGCATCCCTAAGCGCAGACATCTTCCTTCCTTCAAATATTCAAACATCCTTTCTAGCCAGACACACCAAATGACAGCAAACATAGTATAGTGAAAATCAAAATGAACCTGCATTTTCAGCCCATTTTCCACCTTATAGCAAGCATCGGGGAGTGAAAATCAAAAAATTTCCATCCCATCACATTTCCACTTTATTTTCTACATTATCAAAGCTTTATTTTCTTTTTAATTGTTTATTGCTTCTTCTTTTTTATTTCTCTACTCTTTTCTCAATCTTTTAGTACTTTTCATTTGGGTTCATGTGCCACGATCCCAACTAGTTTGGAATAAAGGTGGTTTTGATGTTGGATGTTGATTATCATATTCCAAATTCACTACCAGACATAGCCTTAATCTGTCACAAACAATATACATTTCTACTCAGCGAGGGATAGATAAAAATACTCAGCAAACAGTAGGGATTACAATCCCATAACATTTATTAAATAAATTAAACATATTAGGTGGAACTTTGATGCAAGTGCACACCTCATGAATATACCAATTGTATATACTTTTTCCTTCATGACCTCCAACATATCCATACGAAGCTGTCAATATTCCTCCTTCACTGTAATCTCCAATGATAGATAAGAAATTCAAGCTTGGGGGAAGAGCTGCAAAAAATGCAGAAAGTTATTATGTCAAACATAATATAGATTTTGTTTTGAGGAGAAATATATATGATAGTAAAGAGATTTCAGCTTATATAGATTATTGGATTTTTATTCATGATACCATGTCACAGAACAAGAACACTGGGGAGTGACAAGAGACAAGTAAACCTACTCTCAACTGCTCTATCAGATATTACAAATGCTGGTTCACCCGAATCACCATCGGGAGTCATTGGCGTAAATTTTGCAACAACATAAAAGCCAACAGCTCCAAGAGGTATGCGGAATGCCTGACCAGATCAAGACCCAACAAGAAATTGGAATTAGATGTATAGAGATAAAATTGTGTGCGGTATATGAAAAAACATTTTGTAATGAACTATGAATCTCCCTCCCTCCCCTAAGAAAAAAATAAAAAACCTACTTTAGCAATTTTGGAAGTACTTAATGCTTCAAGACTGTTTTCATCCAAAGTTGACAACAATGTTTTATACCACTGAACTCTGCTAGATGCTTCAGTTCCTCCAGTAACAGTACCAGTCGCAGTGACCTTGCTATTCTCCCGTAGATCACCAATTATTTTGACATTTGTTACTTTTGGGGGCGCTGAAATTGAGAAAGATATATCATAAGGCCACATGCAAATTGTCTGTATAAATTAGCTACAATTTTATTGTGTAAAATAATCATCATTAGACATTTCATCATGTTAGCAGAAGAATGGAAAAGAACCAAACACAGATGCATAATTAAGCAACATAGTATGCACATAAAACGTTTAGAAAAATGAATGGTGCTGCATGAAATATGTATAAATTTTGTAAATAATTGTATTTGTTTATTTCATTATTTATTTATTTCCATTCTAAAATCTTCTTTGGGCTTAACCCATTAGGTTATATAGTCTCTTTAAATAGAAACTAATTGTACAGATATAATATACAATTTTATCAAAAAGATTATCTCTTTTTTCAACTTGGTATTAGAGCTCTCGATTCTGAGGGCTCTACTTCCATGACTGCCGCCTTCAAAGCGGAACCCTATTTGTTTGCCTCTCACCGCCATCAAGCTGCCACCGAAATTTATTTATTTTTTTAAGAGACCTTTTGGACCGAAAGGATCGTTCTTTGACTCTTTTTCTACCGTGGTACTGTTCATCGGTACAGTTCACTGCGCACACTATTCATTCGTGCTATTCATCGGTATTGTTCACGCAAAAAAAAAAAAAAAATTGTTCCAGGACAGAACTGCTCGGTTTTGTCTCCTCTTTTCAGATCTGTGTTTTCTCTTCGGTCAGACATCATTTGGATTTGCGTTTGTTTGATTTTCACCTCAACATTATGGCTGGTTCAAATTGCGCATCTTCGGAATTTATTTCTATTCGCCGAGATGAGATGGAGTGGATTCGGACTATGCTTGATTCTCTTAGTAAGTCATCTAGTACTAGTGCTTTGGCTATGACTGGTATAAGCTCCACTACTCATTCTTTTCTTACTTCTTGTACTAATCTTAAACATTCTTGGATTATCGATTCTAGTGCCACTGATCATATAGCTTGTTGTGTTGACTCCTTTCTTTCTTATAACCCTACTATTGGCACCCATACAATAGCCGTAGCTGATGGCTCACACATATCAGTTGCGGGTTTCGGTAACATATATTTACAGCCTTCCTTTATGTTCCCAAACTCTCCACTAATCTTCTTTCTATCCATAAAATTACCAAAGATTTGAATTGCATTGTAACTTTCTTCCCTACTCATTGTATTTTTCAGGATCTCGCCACGGGGAAGACGATTGGGGGTGCTAAGGAGCAAGGTGGGTTGTACTATCTGGTGCCAGAATCTTCTGCAAAATATGCTAAGGGTCACACCTTATTGACTCAGTCTCAGTCTACTGCCAACTCGTTGATTTGGCTCCATCATAAACGCTTGGAGCATCCTCCATTTCGTTTGCTTAAGTCTTTATTTACATCATTATTTTTGTCTAAGTCTGTTGAGCGTTTTCTGTAAAACCCGGCCGCTTCAAGAATCAATGATTATCCCCACACACTAACACGAGACTTTTCAGTGTGCTTTTATCCTCACTCACACACTTCCTGGGAAAACTTCTCAGGAGGTCACACATCCCAGAATTATTGCAAGTCAAGCACGCTTAACTATGGAGTTCTTTCGTTCCGGCCTACCGAAAAATAGATGCATCTTGTTAGTATAGGTAGTATCAATTAATTCTTATAAGTTATCCACAACTGTGCAGTCTCATACTTGCACAGTCTTTGGAATCTCTCTCTTTCGGGTGTTGATTCGATTCATTCATGTAACCTCGCTGGAAGCCTGTCAAGAGTCGCTCCTTGTCTGTGCCCTTTCGCACTAGCAATCACTCCCCGCCTTCGTCAGCGCCCGAGATGTTACATTTTCATTGTCATGTTTGTGAGTTTGCTAAACACCATCGTGTCTCTTTTCCTTCTAGTACCATTAAAAGTGTTTAGCCTTTTCATCTTGTTCATTCTGTTGTTTGGGGTCCTTCTAAAGTTCCTCAAGCTTCTAGTAATAAATGATTTGTTTCTTTCATTGATTATTGCAATCGTGTAACTTAGGTTTATTTAATGCATGAAAAACCTGACGTACCACAGTTATTCTTTTGATATTATAAAATGATTGAGACCCAATTTAGTAAAAGACTTAGGTCTGACAATGGTACCGAATATGTCAATCAACGTCTTTCCAATTTCATCCAAGATCAGGGCATGATTCATGAACTTACTTGTGTGGACACCCCTCAACAAAATGGAGTTGCTGAGAGGAAGAACCGTCATCTTCTTGAAGTTGCTCGTGCCTTATTTTTTCAAAATCATGTACCCAAGTGCTACTAGGGAGATGCCATTCTTACTACAGCTTTCTTAATCAACTGCTTGCCCTCTCAGGTCCTTGACAATGTAAGTCTTATTCACTCAATGACTTCATTCTTTCCCTCTGTTTCCTCTATGCAGAGTCTTCAGTCACGAGTGTTTGGATGTGTTGTCTTGGTCCACGTTCATAAACATTTTGGCAGTAAGTTGGATCCTAGGGCTCTCAAATGTATCTTCCTTGGTTATGCCCCTGATAAGAAAGGATACAAGTTTTATCATCCTGCTAGTCGAAAATTCTGTCTCAATGGATGTCACATTTCATGAAGTCCTCATCTTCAGGGGGAGAGAAGTTCTTCAGTAGATTCATCACCTTCTATCTTTGACTCTGGACCTTCCCTGTCTTCTCCTACACCTCTTCCTCCTGTTTCTGATTCTTCTGTGTCTGACCCATCTGATACACCGGAAATACGGAGGATTGTGACACCTGAGTTGGTATATCATAGGAGAAAGAAGCCCACACTGTTTCACCAGCAACCTCAATCGTCTGAACCACTGGTAAGTCCTGAATCTCTTGTTTCTGATCCTAATATATTACTTCTCCTGTTTCAAAACCTAATATTGTTGCCTCTAAGGATTTGCCTGTTGCTTACGATAACTTACCCAGTACCTCCGATAACTTACCTATTGCCTTAAGAAAAGGGAAAAGATCTTATACCCAACACCTTATCTCTCATTTTGTCTCTTCTATTAACCTTTCTGTGCAGCACAAAAGCTTTATTTCAACACTAGATTCTATCTTAATCCCAAAATCAGTATATGAAACTTTAAAAGATGAGAATTGGGCTCGAGCCATGTAAGATGAGATGAATGCCTTGGAGAAAAATAAAACATGGGAGGTTGTTGATAGACCTGATAGAAAGAAAGCAGTAGGGTGCAGATGGGTTTATGCCTTGAAATATAATTCTGATCGTACTCTTGAGAGATATAAGGCTCGGTTAGTTGCCAAGGTTACACTAAAACCTAAGGCATGGATGGAGGAAATAAAGTTTGCAAGTTAAAAAATGCCTTCTATGGATTGAAACAGTCTTCTCGTGCATGGTTTGGGAGATTTACTAAGGTTATGCTGGCCTTAGGATATAAACATACTCAAAGAGATCACACACTATTCTTCAAGCACTCCAAGGATGGGAAGCTAACTGTGCTCCTTGTATATGTTGATGATATTATTATGACAGGTGATGATATTGCGGAGAAATATTTTCTACAAGCACGGCTAGCCTCTAAGTTTGAAATTAAAGATTTTGGGAGATTGAAATATTTCCTAGGGATAGAGGTAGCTCATTCAAAGGAGAGAATTTTTATCAGGCAGAGGAAATATGTTCTTGATCTTCTTAAAGAAGCGAGAAAACTTCGGTGTAAACCCTCTAGTACTCCTATTGGGTAGAATCACAATATGGTTTATGAAGAGGAGAGTCCTCCAGTTGATAAAGGATAATATCAGCTGTTAGTTGGGAGACTGATATATTTGGCTCATAGTAGACCAGATGTTGCTTATGTTGTCAGTAGTGCAAGTCAGTTCATGCATAATCCAAACGAAACACACATGCAGGCAGTGGAGAGAATTTTTCAGTATCTTAAAGTCAGTCCTGGTAAAGGACTGTTGTTCCGGCGTTATGGCAATCTCTTTAAAAGTTTATAGCGATGCAGATTATGCTAGATCTGTAACTGATCGTCAATCTACCACTGGTTATTGTATGTTTCTTTGTGGTAACCTAGTGACATGGAAGAGTAAGAAGCAGGACGCGGTTGCCAGGTCGAGTGCTAAGGCTGAATTTCAAGCTATGGCTCAATTTGTGAATTATTGTGGTTAAGAATTATACATGGTGATCTTAATGTGAAGGACCTATGAAACTGTTTTGTGATAATAAGTCCGCCATTTGTATAGCTCGTAATCAGTTCAACATGATCGGACTAAGCACATTGAAATCGACAACCATTTTATCAAAGAGAAGCTTATTAGTGGGTTGATCGCCACTCCATACATCCCTTCTGGACGTCAATTAGCTGATATTCTAACAAAGGGACTTCCCTTAGAAAGGTTTCAAGAGCTTACTAGAAAGCTGGGAATGATAAATATCTATTCCTCAACTTGAGGGGGAGTGTTATAAATAATTGTATTTGTTTATTTCCATTCTAGAATCTTCTTCGCGCCTAGCCCATTAGATTATTTAGTCTCTTTAAATAGAGAGCAATTGTACAGATGTAACATACAATTTTATCAATAAGATTATCTCTTTTTTCAACTATAGATTATTTTCAGAATGCCAAAAGTAAAGGTGGATTAAATAATTATTAAATAATCCCTTATAGTAGAAGGATTAAATAAAAATGCAAGTCAATATGCTGCAATCAAAGCAAGAGAAGAAGAATAACTATCCTATCATAAAATAATGTCAAGAGGGCCAAAGACCAACTATCTCAAAAGCTTATGTTGTTAGGTGGAGGCTCAAGAAGATTTTATATCTCCAAAACACCCTCTCAAGTAAAAGTCATATGGGCTTGATACGTGGACAATTCACAAGCCCCCTCCTTGTGCTGATATTTAAGATTGGGAGAGCAAGGACCGAACTCTTGACCACTATCCATAGAGACTTTGACATAATGTCAAAGACCAATTCTCCTTAAAGCTTAGGTCGTAATATGGAGGCCTAGCAATGGATTTATTCCTCTAAGAAAGAGAAATTGATACATCATGACAAAGAATTTTATACCATATAGGATTCCAATAATCAATATATAGCCCGCCATGCCACTTACAACCAAATGCCACCTGCCACTACTAAGAGTATAATATAATGGCAGTGACAGAGAAAACAGAAGATCGTAAGTAGAAGAGACATTGCTAATAAATATTAAGATACCTTGTTTAACAACAGGAGACATTACTGACAAAGATTTTCCTTCCTGACCTGAAAGATATACCAACGAATATTTTACAGAAGGATGTGAAAGGTAAAAGCAAAGGATACACTGATCATATTAAGCCCAGTTACCAAACCTTCAAAATTAATAGGTATGTAAACAAAAACCAAAGAACAACCAACATCCTCTTTGGTCAAGGAATACTCAGATGTACCAGCTGATACTAACAGAAAGAGTCTGCATAGATTTGCCACAATGAACCAAGAGCAAAGAGCTTAGTAAAGCAAAATAAGGGTATAAAAGAAAATAAAGAAAATAAAGGCAGGAACTATCCCCAACATTGTAATGAATGCAACAATTCACTTTCCAATTTGCAAAAGCACAAATCACCAGACTAGAATAGAGACTTTATTTTTTAACATAATACTCCCATGCCCTTCAGTTAAGCATTATGAAGAGAATACTGACCCATCATCCCTGTTCTCCCTTAACCATTCAAACCTGCTGGGACCCTCCCGTCCACCAAAATAATCACCAACTCCTTTTATGGTACCTCCTTCGACAGCATCTCCAACTATTCTAACATTACTGACTGACGGAGGAGCTGCCATATGACAAAAAATGACAATCAAAGAACAGTTAGACTGTAGCATAAGAAGTAGTTCAAGAATACTGGTGACTCCATGATCACACTTCTCAAATTTTTAATCATTGCCATATTTCCACACGTGGCATATATCTCTAACATGGGATAACTTGTGTGTCTCTAGGCTGTATCCATCCATAATGCAACTATAATCAATTCAATCAAGGAACTAATGAACTAAACAATGGCGAACTTAAAGCCAAATAACTCACCAACCATGAGCAATCATCATAGATATTGTCGACCATATATTCTAACAAATGCTAAATACGATGATGAATTTAGACTAGTATTCTGGCAAAGGCTATCAAGCAAATTCCAAAAGGAGATAGAAGAAAAGTAAAGAAGATAAAAATGGACAAAAGTCACTGCTTACCAGCTCTTACAAAGTCTGTATATTTATATTGAGGTTCTCCTTTGGCACCTTCTTCTGTGACTGGTGTGTACATAAAAACTAAACTTGAATCAACATCATCAATGGTTAGACGATACTCCTCATCCTCAGCCCCCACAATGACCACAGGACTACTGTTCCACTTTCTCCGCAGCCAGCTAAAGTAATAAAGGAGACAAAACAAATGGTGTAGTTATATTACACAATATTTTGAACAAAATATATTTTGTAGTATACACACGATGCAAACAGACAGATATACAAATTTAAGGAATGTCATCTCACCTAGCAACACCTTTTCCTGGAGTCCCACCGCACCATGCAACCTTAGCACAACCCCTGATGATACTTCCCTCTACCAGTTCCCCATGCACTTCAAGATTTACAACCTTCGGAATTCCACTCCCTTGTGAAAAGTAGAAGTGTAAATAGGAAAATCATGAGGAATGCATGAAATATAAACGCATTAAGAAATTATTAAAAGAACATAACATTTAACACAAATCAGAGAGTTCCTTTTTCTTTGGCCAGTCAGAAATTTTAAAGGTAACCCAAAAATAATTAATTCAGAGATGAATATTGAACAATATAAAAGAGTTTAAAATTAGACAGCTTATATTTTTTCTTTTTTGGATTTATTATGATCCACTAACAGTATAAAGAGTTTCACACTATCAGTGAACGTAGTCCAACCAATTTAAAAAGGTTGCTAAAATATTTTACAAAAAGTGGAAAATTATCGCTATTAAAAAGACCGGGCACCTTATTTTTCTTTTTATGAAGACAGTGAATCACATTTAAACTCCTCTACCAAAATAAATTTGGATGATTAACACCTCTTTCCTAGATAAAGATTATCACTTGAAGTTAGATACTACCAGCGTATAAATACATACACATGTTGTAAATAATAATTTTACTATTATTTTATTTATTAATTTATTCTAGGTTACTCTAGAATCTTCTTTGGGCTTAGCCCAATAGGTCATTCAATCTCTTTAAATAGAGAACCCTTTATACAATTAAATATACAATTCAATAATATAATCTTTCTTTTCAAATTGGTATTAGAGCTCTCAACTCTAAAGGCTTTGCATCCATGATTGCCGCCTTTACAGCAGAACCCTAATTTTTTGCCTCTCGCCGCCACCGGAAAATTTCCAGGGACCTATTTGCACCGAGAGGACCACTGCTTGACTCATTTTTCTCATATCTATCATTCTACGGAAGTTTCCTAGAAAGAAGACGAGCAAAGAAGCTCCAAAAACCCACACCTATTCTCATCGATACAGTACTGTTCTGATGACTTTTGAACTCCAAACAGCCATAGACAGGATCGCGACCGCCGGACGAACCCGCCGTGAAAGGCCCAGCTCTGACCGACCCTCCACACGCTCTCAAGTGCCACCTTCACCTCTGAATGTGACGCCCACGCGCCGACAACCTCACCAACGCGTGACGGCGAGTTTTTGCCTCAGACCACTGTTGTTCTGCTTGTCCCTTCTTGCACTTTCTGGATCTGTGCTTGGTTTTCCAATCAAACATCGTTTGGTTGTGCATTTTTTTGCCTCAAGTCGCAGTTTTGTTGGCCTTTTTTTTGTTCTTTTTGGCAAACTTGACAATTCTGCTTCTATTTGAACTCTCCAGATACCTTTGAGGTAATTTTTCATCACTTGTTCATATTCTTTTTTAGACTAATTTGTTCCTTTGAGGTTGCTTTTACATCAGCATTATAGCAGATTCCGATGGTAGTTCGATTGTTACCCAGCCTTTAACTCAGTCTGTTCATACCCTACTTGGTCACAAATATGATCTTCCTACTCTTCATTAGAGTTATCGGCTTGATGGGTCAAATTACTTGTCATGGTCTCAGCTTATTCGCACTACCATCAAGAGCCACAATAAGATTGCTCATCTTGATGGCCCTGCTCTTGCCACCACTGATCCTAAGTTTGCTGGGATAATGAGGATTCCCTTATCATGACTTGGTTAAGGAACTCAGTGACTCCTGAAGTGGGTCGTCTCTGTATGTTTTTGTCTTCTACTAGCGAGATTTGGGAAACTAACCGCTCAACCTATTCTTTGACACAACATATGGCTGCACGCTATGAATTGCGCAATAAAAATTTTTCTACTAAACAGGGTTCCTTATCTATGACAGCATATTATGGATGGTGTTAAGAAGGAGTTATGGACTGAGTTCAACCAATTTCAGAGTTTGTAGATGCAATGTAATGCGGATGCTACTTCCTTAGCCAATGAGGTAGAAAAAAAGCGTAATTTTTATTTTCTTGCCGTGTTGAATTTCGAATATGATCATATTCGGGTTCAGATAATTGGCAAAGACACATTACCATCCCTCTCTGCTGTTTTTAATATTGTTCGGAGTAAGGAGACTCGTTAGGGAGTTATAATGCACCCTAACACATCAGATAGGTCTGTCATGCTATCATCCTTTGAGGTGGATGTTGTTTCTAAACCCATTGATGGATCTGCTATGATCTCAACAAAAAAAGATGGCTCTTCGCAAGGCGATTCCTTTACCAAATCTGTTGATGGTGCATCTTCTAAATCCAAGAAAGATGATCGCAGGTGTTCCTATTGTAAAAAGGGAGGTCATATCAAGAATCTATACTTTCGCCTCAATGGGAAGCAAAATGTCTTCGAAATGATGGGGTGTATGCGTGGTCAAGCTCATTTGGTTTCCTCTGATGTGGCTACTACACCTAACGAGGTCCAACCTGCATCTTTGGAATTTAATTCTATTCGCCGAAATAAGTTGGACCAGATTCGGACTATGCTTGATTCTCTAAGTAAGTCATCTGGTAGTAGTGCTTTAGTTATGACTGGTATGATCTCCACTACTCATTCTTTTCTTGCTTCTTGTACTAGTTTTAAACATTCTGGGATTATCGATGCAGGTGCTACTGATCACTAGGCTTGTTATGCTGACTCTTTTCTTTCTTATAACCCTATTGTTGGCACCCATACAATACCCGTATTTGATGGCTCACATACATTAGTTGCAGATTCTGGTAACATATACTTAAAGCCTTCCTTGCATCTCCAAAATGTTGTTCATGTTTCCAAACTCTCTACTGATCTTCATTTTATCCATAAAATTACCAAAGATTTGAATTGCATTGTAACCTTCTTTCATACTCAATGTGTTTTTCAGGATCTTGCCACTGGGAAGACGATTCGGGGTGCTAAAGAGCAAGGTGAGCTGTACTATCTTATCCCAGAATCTTCTGCAGAGTTTGTTAAGTATCACACTTTGTTGACTCGTTCCCAGTTAGTTGCTGACTATTTGATTAGGCTTCATCATAAATGTTTTGGGATTCCTCCATTTTGTTTGCTTAAGTCTTTATTTCCATCATTATTTTTGTCTAAATTTGTTGATTTTTTCTTTGTGATGTTTGTGAGTTTGTTAAACACCGTCGTGTATCATTTCCTTCTAGTACCATTAAAGGTGTTAAACATTTTTATCTTATTCATTATAATGTTTGGGGTACTTCTAAAGTCCCTAATATTTTTGTTTCTTTTATTGATGATTGTATTCGAGTACCATGAATTTACTTAATGCATGAGAAGTCTGAGGTACCACAGTTATTCTTTCAATTTTATAAAAAGATTGAGACCCAATTTTGTAAAAGAATTAAAAGACTAAGGTCCGCAATAGTACAGAATATGTCAATCAGCGTCTTTCTCAATTCATCCAAGATCAGGGCATGATTCATGAACCTACTTGTGTGAAAATCCCTCAGCAAAATGGGGTTGCTGAGAGGAAGAATCGTCATCTTCTTGAAGTTGCTTATGCCTTACTTTTTCATACGCATGTACCCAATTGCTACTGGGGAGATGCCATTCTCACTGTAGCTTTTTTAATCAACTACTTACCCTCTAGAGTCCTTAACAATGTAAATCATATTCACTCAATGACTTCATTTTGTCCCTCTGTTCCCACTATACAGAGTCTTCAGCCATGAGTGTTTGGGTGTGTTGTCTTTATCCATGTTCATAAACAACATGGCAGTAAGTTGGATCCTAAGGCTCTTAAGTTTGTCTTCCTTGGTTATGCCCCTGATCAGAGAGGCTACAAATGTCATCATCCTCCCAGTCAGAAATTTTTTTATCTCTATGGATGTCACCTTTCATGAATCTGAGTCTTTTTTCCAAAGTCCTCATCTTTAGGGGGAGAGTAGTTCTTCAGCAGATTCATCCCCTTCCTTTTGTGAGTCTATATCTTCCCTGTCTACTCCTACATCTCTCTCTCTTGTCCCTCTTGTGTCAGATCCTTCAAATACACGAGATATGGAAGATTTTGACACCTGATTTGGTATATCACAGGAGGAAACAACCCATACTGCTTGACCAAAAAAATCTCATGTTTCCGAACCTAATATTATTGCCTCTAATGACTTACCTATTGCTTCTAATAGCTTATCCATTGCCCTAAGAAAAGGAAAAAGATCTTGTACCCAACACCTTATCTCTCATTTTGTCTTTTCTACTAACCTTTTTGTGCAACACAAAAGCTTTGTTTCAGCACTATATTCTATCTCAATCCAAAAATCAGTTGATCAAGCATTAAAAAATAAGAATTGGATTCAAGCCATGCAAGAAGAGATAAATTCCTTAGAGAAAAATAAAACATAGGAGGGTGTTAATAAACCTAACGGGAAAAAAACATTAAGGTGCAAATGGGTTTATGTCTGTTAGAATATTAGATATGATATGATTGGATTTGATTAGATATGATTGGATTCTGTCTTATCCGTAAATAGTCTGACTGTATTCTGACTGTATTAGGATTAGGTTTGGATTAGGTTTGGGCCTTGCACTTAAGCCATAGGGTCTCTATATATTGTAACTCCCTGACACAAATCAATACATCACGTATTCTTTTACATTTAACTTGGTATCAGAGCTATTTCGTTCTGGGAACCCTCGCTTCCGCTTAGAAATCTTGTTCTTCACTTTAAAACCTAAGCCCACTGCTTAGGAGTCATCTATTCTTTGCTGTGCGTCCTTCCGGTAAGACATCAAGGGTTGTAAGTCCTCTCCAGGCATCTTCTGCACGTGTCCACATCCCCAAACAGTCACCGGAGCACCATCAGCCACCGTCAGCCACTGTTCAGGCTGCCGGAGTACTTTTCGGGCGAGTTTTCAGTCTGGAACGAACGCGAACAGAACCCTCTCCTCCCGGCGACCTGCTCTGTGGAAGTCCGGCCACCATCGGAGTTGTCACGTGCTCTCACGCGCCTCCAGTCTTCTCTGCGCGTGGGCTTCACGCGCCACCTTCTGCCGGCGCGTGAGCACTATTCTGGCGGCTTTTTCCGGCCGGTCTTGGACAGAGAAGCTCGTCTTCTCCTCCTCTTTCTGGATCAGTGGTTGGTTCTTTGT